CATCAAAATGTTATAAAAATAATAACATATCAGTTGTATGTTGATTTTACATTGAAGTAATAATCAAAATGTAGTAACACAAGAAAAATTCTACATACGGACCCACGATTTTTTACTGTGTATTAATTATTATTAACGATTTAAAACTGTATTCTTCAAGAAAGCATGAGGATGTTATAAAAAGTATTAAAAAATGCACGGAAAGGAAATGTAAAAAAATTCATAACACGCCTAGGTTATCATAATCGACGATGACACGACACTTTTTAGGAGTAAAAACATTTTTGTAAAATATCTAAAAATTTAATTGGATACAGAACTGAAAATAATTTTTAAACCATCAAAATAATTATGAACGATCAAACTTGTTGCTAGAATGTTAAAACTTTTTGTATCGCGTCTTACATAATTATATCTGTATCTAACTAAATTTTTAGATACTTCAGCAAAATCATTCTTTCCATGTGATCTCTTAAAATTGAACATATCTCTTTCTATCCCAATGAATCAATCGTATTTCAATGCTTTTTATACACGGAGAGAATTTTTCGTTATTTTTTACCGCAAAAAAATTCATTACAAATTTCATCATGTTTGGTAATAAGCTCTTGGGACAACTTTTGACAATAATGAAATATTATCAGTAACGATAGATTTTTTGAATTATACAAGAGACTTTTTATAAATGATGTAGTAAAAATTATAATGCAGATTGTAAAATGTTTTGAAGTGAGTAAGTTCTAGCGTAGCTAGACACACTCGACAACGAAAATAACCGATAAATATCGATTACAGTCAATCAATTACTATGTTATATGGTAAAATTATAAGCGACTAAATCAGATTAAAAATATCATGCTGTATGGTAAAAATTATATAAGCTATTTTATATATTCATGACTACTTAGCATCTATTCTTTTAAAATAATAAAGAATCATAAACTGCGAAACATATTTTAAAATGTTGAAATTTTACTATACCCTTTAGTAAAATTAATAAAATATATTACATATCTTATTATGACACATATTAGTAAATTAAAGAAACTCATATACAATTCTTTGAAATACTATGTTGTCCCACTATTATCATGATTTTCAGGCTAAATTCTAAGAGAAAATTCTCTCCGTGTAATACTTTGCTTTTAATATAAATTATACAGTATCGTGCTATATTGATCGAGACCTGTTTCGCAATTAGCATCAATTTGTTTGTAATCTCTTTGACGTTGGTGTTTCAAATGACAAATTAACGAGACTCGTGGTTTAGATCTCGTCGCGTGGGATGCGCGAGTTCCACCGTCGCAGCGATACAATCCACCTCGTTGCTCCAACTCGCGTCTTGCGTTAAGAATGCGTGATTTACGAGCGATGTATTGTAGAGATCGCTTCGTTAAGAATGATCTTATAAATAGCGACTCGCGTGTGATTCAGCGCGACCCTGCGGGCGCTTGTCGAGCGCTACGTGTAAATTATTATAAATCGATCCTTGTCCTCGATCATGGCGAAGAAATCCTCGCTCGTGATCTCGCTGAAAGAGCCGCGGATCACTCCGCGAGAGAATGCTATTCGTGACGTCGTCTCGAAGCCATGAGCAATGATTTTCGATCTTTTAGATGATGATGATTAATGAACCCATAAGACGCTCTTGCAGAATAGATTTCTACTTTTTTTTAATCGCGAAATCAGAGAATTGTATCGGGAATACTATATGCTCTATAAAATGTAAAACTGCGATCCTTGTAAAAAATTTTACTCCTTGTTTGTATCTATACGGCTAAAGTATTTGAAAATTTAGCTAGATTTGAAAATAATTTTGTTGAACTATCAAAATAATTATGTAGGACTCAAGCCGGTTACAAGAATATCAACAATTTTTGCAGCATTATCTATCATACTTGAGCGTTCTACATAATTATTTCGATCGTCTAACAAAATTATTGTCTGTTTCCAACTAAATTGTTAGATACTTTAGCAAAATCATTCTCTCCATGTCTATTTTTATCTATATATCTGTGAGACTTTTGTCTCAAACTTCCTTAGTTTTCAACCTGAAAAACTATCGGTGCCACTATTTTCAAGAAACCCATCGTTTCTCTTCGTTTAAAGCTCTACCATTTTCAGAGAAAGCATCAAGTCCTGGCGGCACTCCTTAATACAGAAAGATCATCGTCCAACACTCGCTGGACGCTCCCTAAGCTAACGAGATCGATGGCCACTCAACTCACAAAGGAAAAGCGGTGAGAATTTGGATCACCCTTCGAAATTATCCGTCAACGTCGGCTGCAATAATTATAAACAAGGAGGCCTCGCTTCTAGGACGAGTTCTTAGAAAGCGTCGTTTATAAATCACGATTCCGTGGGCAACCCCTAATCTTCCACCCCCGGCATCCTCGTGCCACTCCTCGATCATCTTCCTTTCGTACTGCCCTTCCACCCCTTAGCACCGTATTCCCCCGTATTTTGGTTTTGCACGCAAAACCACCATCACTTCGCCATTCATCATCCAACGCCGCTCAACCTTCTCTCTGTTTCCGTTTTTCCCACTTCCCACCCCTTTTCAGGGTGATCCTCACCTCGCTCCCTCCTTCTCGCCGATGTGATGAAACCCCTACGAATCGCACGACAATTTAACGCATATCCAGAGACCGTGGAATTATTCTTCGCAGGAAAGAGAGTTAACCGACAACCGACCGCACTGCCTCGAATGTTAACGAGTCGAATCTTCTGTGCGCAGCTCCAGATAAGAGGAACGATTCTTGAGATGATTAATAGAAATTGTGGAGTGATGAGAAACAACTTGCGGAACAGTCCTAAGTGGAATGAAGAAATGAAGAAAAGACAAATAACGATGTCTGTAGCAAGACAATCCATAATGAGCTTTCTTACGTTATTTGTCTTATAATTATCATTTTATTGACCTTTGTGCATACATGGAAAGAATGGTTTTGCTAGAATATTTAAAAAGTTGGCTAAGTATATATCTGATAGGAGTATCAAAAAATAATTACGTATAAGAATTGTTTTAGATGTTCAAACTGATTACTAAAAACTTTTTGCAGCATTGTTCATCATGTTCGAGTTTCCTACATAATTTGATGGTCCAATTAAATTCTTTTCAAATCTATATCTAAAAAAAACAATAATTAAATCTAAAGATTAGTCTATCGAAGTTTAGTCTAAAGTGACGTAGTTACAAATGAAAAAAGTATTTAGATTTTGTTCTTAAAAAAAAAAGTTCGCTGATAAATTTATTTTAAAACGTCATTTCGGCTTTAAGAAAGAAAAATCATAAAAAATACTTTTGCTTCTGATAATTAAAAAAGCTAACTGGTCTAAAAGATAAAAAAACGCTGCGATAAATTGGCCGCGAGGCGAGGTATCTAAAACCGGCACTGTAGTAATCATCCGCTTTTCATTTGCGAAACGTATTGGCAAGGGATAACGAACGCGAAGCATCGTCGTCTATTTATGCAGCCCATAAAGCAGCACCGACGATATCTTTATTCCTCGAGAGTACGAAATTTATGTCGACCGAGAATCGCCCCCTAAATCTGGCTCTCAATCTCCTTACGATTCAAGAAAAATAATGATCGAGATCGAGAATCGAGAGGCTACGTCTCTACCTCGCACGCACTTCGAGCGTTTCCCTCGACCACTAATCTATTTGTTTCTCATTAACGGACCAACATTAATCTTCGAACTCATTCGAAGCCATCGCGAGCGAACGTGAGAGTGCAAATGGGACTCATCACGAGGGTTCACAGGAGGACTTCTTGAATGTCTACTTTGACCAAACGATTAAAGATTGCCTGCAAACAGCTATGTATTTTTGTGGCTCGCCACTATAATTACGCAAATTTAACGTTTACGTTCTCAGTTTAATTTCTTTTTACTCGAAAGGAACAATTTTGCTGAAGTATCTAAAAATTAGGTAAATACAAATTTAAAAATAATTTTATAAAATCATGAAAGTAAAATTATGTAGAAAACTCAAGTATGATGAGCAATACTGCAAAAGGTTCTGACATTCTAGCAACAATTTGAGTGTCTTAACTATTTTGATAATTTAATTTAATATTATTTTCAGATCTATATTTAGTTGAAGTTTTAGGTGCTTCAGCGAAATTGATATTTCCGTGCAAATAAAAGAAATTATAAACATTTTTATCTAATGTGCATTTTTTAAATTTATTATTAGAAAAAATAAAATTATTAGGTGCAATCTTAAATATTTAAAATCTCAATCTTACTCTAACTAAAAGAAGATTAAAGCGCGATAAATGAAAATGGCATGATCAAAAATCTGGGCTTAAAGTGAACATCTGACGGCGCCAGTGTGACTGCTCTTTTCGTAATAAAAAAAAAATTGATTAAAGATTATTCTTACATAATAAGACAAGTTTCCCTCGTTTCGGTCGCGCTAATCCGATTGACATTTCAGAGTTCGTGAATTTCGAAACGCGTAGCACGATGATAGATCCTATCGCGGAGATTTATTGTAAGAGAGCATAACTGGAGAAGGCTTTAAAAGAACTGTCGAATAATATTCGCAAAAGTGAATTGGAATACTTACAGCCATTTTATACATCTGCCATCTTGGACCAGCAACAACACGAGCAGCAGTAGCCAGACTTTAGCACCGCTTCGCTTCTTTATCCACATCTTTCTTCGTTTCGCATTCTAAAAGTTTGACATTGTCTCTCTCTGTCCTGGGAATATCATAAAGACGATTTTCTATCCGTTCTTTCAAACACCGCCGATCATCCCTCGATGCGGCGTGATTCGCTTCGCAAAGATTCGGGATCTCTTCATCGTGTCCATCGTTCTACGTAGCCTCGCAAAGTCGTGATACTTTTCTGTCTCATGTAAAAGAAGCGATGTTTTCGAGAACTATCTTCAATGCATTTTGAGAAAATTCTCTTTTTATTTGTGTCCTTTATATATATATATATATATATATCCACTCGGAAATCTTCGATCCTACATCGACGTCGCTACATATTTAACATTCGCATTTGATTACCGACTCGATTAATTTTTCAAAAATAGTTGGATGACGAATTTGGATCAGTTTTGGGCCACTTAATTAAGACGAACGATGTCTGAAGAAACAGCGAAAAGTCTTCTTAGATACGAGACTTTTTCTTCGCACGATGACTCACAGGTGAGCGAACGAGAAGAAGAAAGACTGCTCGTTGAACACGCGTTTAGAGACAAGAGGCACCACTCTTGTTAAAATTGACGGAAAACAGTACGTCTCAGGATCCTTCAGGATCTGCTGCGATTTCGGCAAACTTTCACCGTGCACCGTACGTCCGGCTCGGCGGGGAGTCTGCGTGCTTACAGGTGTCCGTCGGAGCAGTCCCGCAGGATTTGCCGGTCGGTGGTGGTGGTGGAGGTCCTCCTACTACTTCACTTCCTCCTACTTCGCCTCCTACTTGAGCCTCCTCTTTCCTCGATGTACGAGGAGCCCAATGATCGACACCGGGGATGCCGCCGTATAAGAAGAAGGCGATCGCTGCCATTAACCCTCTCACTCCTATAAGAGTATATATTTTTTTTCATTTGCACACTGTGTGAACAAAAATTTATTAAATCTTAATACATATTTCTTTGAATAGTATTAAGTACATATTTACTTACAGTCAAATTCAGTCCATCCTTTATCTTCATTGATCGATGAATTCCATCTTCGAAGGAAGATGTATAAATTTCAAAGAAAAAAAAATATTCCATTAGAAAAATCTTGTGTAATTCTCTCAATGTAAATCGGAAAGATTTTTATTGTTTTAATGTCTGCCAACGAATTATGTTTATACCTCAGTCACTAATTAATTCTGTCAATGGACTATGTTTTCCTAACTCTCGGTTTTACCGAAAATTATACATCTCGATTAATATATAACGAATAATATCTTAAAAAAGAAAGATGAACGGAGACTGGAGACCACCTCCGCGGAATTGACTTTAACGAGCAGGCGGTATCTTTGTGATCATTTATTTTACTACAAGGCGGAGCCAAAACAATTTATCCCTGCCTTTACCATTTAAAGGCTGGTGAGCATTGGTGCTTTCTCGCTTCGATTTGTTGATCGGATTCGAATGAGTATCGACCATACAGACGCGTTCATACAGAAAAAGATTCGTCGTATTAAATCTGTCTGGGCTCCTTGATTAGATTCAATTATACCTAACATTTATGTGATCTTACTCAATAGTACATTTTTTTAATTAAATCTTTCTTTAAAAGTAAATCTCATTTAAAAGGAATACATTTTTTATATAAAAAATAAATCATTTTTTATTTTAATGTAGCCATATCACAAGTAAGTCTACATTAAATAAATGCCTATAGAATTACTTTCTATTAATAATTTTGATGAGGTTTCGATTTTATAATTTATTATAGTGTTTATGGATAAATTAATATAATTCGTCTACATATACCATAATAATACAATTTTATGTAATTAAAATACAATAATTATAATACATCTACGTGCATTATAATAACAATATTTCATATAATTATTTCATTAATTATAACATTAAGCTCAATCTTTCTCTCGCACGCACATTTTCTATGCCATTATGTACACACATTAATGTCGATCAACAGCAAATCAACAGCACAATTAGCGCAAGTAAATTTCATCGAGATATATTGTACGCCTCAATTGGAAGAAGCCACGAGCCCCTTGCCCCTCGCTAATTACCATGCCAATTTTGTCCACGGTGCCGATCGTTCGTCTTCCTTCCCGTTCTCCTTGGTCGATGCCTCGCTCGGCCCTTCCGTTGCCCCGTTGCCGTCGATAAATAATCCTCCGTCAGACGTTCATTACGTCGTTAAGTTTCGGCCCCGGACTTATATCCACCCTCCGTCCCGCACGCGGAACCCAACGAGCGGGTTCGCCCGCAGCGGTAACCCTGGAAATACCGCGTGCCGTGTAAAAAGGCATGCCGATCGCACCAATCAATAGAGAATATCGGCATTAGCGAGGCTGAAGAGCCACGAGCGACTTCCTTCAAAATTACTCGATCTTTAATAAACAGAAATGACAGAAATTTTAAGGGGATGCTGTGGAGTGTCCTGTTTTACCATTAATTTTTAAAGACTCTTTTCTCTTAATTGTGTTTATGGATTGAAAAGTCCTTCTCCACAATTAAAGTATCAACAACAACACAGGCTCCCAGCTACAATTTAATACGAAAAATGGAAAAAAATTAAAAATTATAGTTTTGTCACCGGCTCCTGCAGTCAACTCGTCACAATATGTGCTGCATATAAGAGTTTCAGATTTTACCCGTTTAAAATAAGTAGCCATCAGTAGCCTACAGAAAACCTCGAAGAACAATCCTATGCTTTTAGAAACGAGGTAGAGGCTTTGGTATAAGAGAAGAGTCGCTAAAACTTTCGTTCGTATACTACGAATAAAATTGACGTGAAACCATGAAACCGAGCAATATTTTAGTCGATCTCTTTCTAAGAGATGGCGTTGCAATATGTTAGATAAGGACAGATGAATGCGTTTGAGCGAGACACAACGATATATGATAAGTATAAGAAATGAATGAAAGATGTCACTATCATCGAATTTGGAATTTAACAAAGTCTGTACTATCGATCTTGATTAAGTTTGACCGTCACTCCAGCATTCCCTTAAGAAATGAATGAAAGATGTCACTATTATCGAATTTGGAATTTAACAAAGTCTGTACTATCGATCTTGATTAAGTTTGACCGTCATTCCAGCATTCCTTTAACTTCTAATTTGAAATTAAGGAAGTGAATGAGACTGCACATATAACTAATCACGAGATCAATTTCAGGAAAAAATTCTACGATAAGAAACAATTCAATTTTTTTTTATCAATTATACAGAAAGGAGTTTGTTAAAAAATCTAAAAATTTAGCTGAATTCAAATTTGAAAATAAGTCTATTAGACAAAATAATTATGTAAGACGTTTACATTGGTTGTTAAAATGTGAAAACTTTTTGCAACATTGATTATCATGTTTGAATTTCTTAAGTAATTATTTTAAGGCTGAATTTTTAGATACTTTACAAAACCGTTCTTTCTACGTGAATGTCAAATTTATGACTATATCAGATGCAAATATGAGAATTAAAAATACTATACATAGCGTTGTTTTATTTTCGCGCAATTATTACCGCCTATATCCGATAAGATATCGCGATATGAATGTCTGCGTTGCACTAACTGTAAAATCAGATAGCAGATGCCGACATTCCTCGGTTGTTCGCAGTAAAGATAACTGGAAAGATCGAATGACAGGCGTTAGCTGTTACTTTCGCGAGACTCGGAAATGTGCAGCGCGCAAATGCATCGTGCAATTACCGCAGCAATGTTGCAAAAGTATTCCGAGAAGTAACGTGTTTCTCGCCGTGGGCGATTCATGTGGGTGCACGCGCAATAACTTCACGGAACAAAAGTAGAAGTATCTCTGTTTCTGCCACTCGGTTTACGGAATGAATGGCACATTAACTTATATATTTGCGATTTGCGCAATGCGTTTACACCTCATTAATTTAAGAACCGTGGACGAGCGAGCGCATTGCGAACGCCGGAGAATTTCTCGCGCAACTCTATTATATGCGCCATAAAGTTTGTCTCGTTATTTATCGTTAATAACGCATTCGTCTAATTAGCCTCTCGCGATCTCGAATAAACTCTTTTCATTTTTCTTGATTCCGTCCCGATTATTATTTCATCCACCGCGGATGAAACTGTTCCGCTCATCGAAAAGGATACTTCTGCGTTTCTCGCAGGATTAACAAGAGATACGTAAGTACTTCTATTTTGTTTCTTCCGACTTTCGCAATTTTTCTATAACTTTTAATCTTTACGAAAAGCAAAAAAAAATGAAATCGGTTGATCAGGCTGAGTAATGAACTAATAAGGATAAAAGATCGTCGATGAGGCGTTGATACCAAAAATAAACGAGTTAAAGGCACGACGACTTTATTAGCGGGGAAAGTTAGACGGACGAAAGAAAGAGAGCGTCTTCTTCGTCCCAGATTATTTCCCGGCATTATTCGCCGAAGAAGACATTGGCTATAAAAAAGAGACAAGCAGATCCGGCGACAGCTGCTTCGCTATTAAAAGCGACTTAAACTCCAAACCCTTCCTGCGATCGTAGAACGCGAAGGTACCCCTTGCCGCCCCCATCCTCGTCCAGTCGCTCACTCTCTATTTCTCATCCGCTCCCTTTCGCTTCTTCTTGTTCCTCTTGCTCTTCTCCACGTCGTCGTGCCATCCCTCTTCTCGTGATAACGCGCGGGCGAAGCGTAAAGCCACGCGTACGCGTCTACGCGCCTGCGACTTCTTGCCTGCAAATAAGCGAATTGCTAAATGAGCCGTAAAGCCAAACCACGGGGATGTGAAGGAAGAGAGCAGAATGCGCACGGACCCCGCTTGGTCCTAGATTAGAATTTAGAGCCGACATCCTCTCCGTCTCTCCGCGGCCCGAGAGCACCGCGGGCACGTGGGGAACGGCGCAGTAAAACACGTTCAAGAAGAATGGCCGTTCGAAATATTATAGAGCGAGATGAGAAATGGACCGCGAGTGAAGGGACGCGAGCGGGGCAGCTATAGAATTATTGCCCCTCTCCGTTGTGTCTCGCAATAACTTTTACAACTCTGTGATATTAATTAAGAAACGCGTTTCTTGCTTCCTATATATTTTTATTATTATAAATCGTTTGATTTAAGCAAAAACGGAAGATGCTTATAGAGGAGATAGACAAAATAATGCAAACACCTAAAAAATATAATTATCTACTTATTTTCTTAATAAGAAATTGATCTAACATTTACCTTTAATGCAAATTCTGTCCTTGTTGAAATAGTCATACATGTTTAAATACTGCAATAACTGCTACAGTGCAATATTATATCATTCTTTTCGCAGAACTTCTTGTTTTATACTTAAAACAGACGATTGTATTAGCCAAGAAAAATGTTGAAGTTTTAGAAAATGGCAAAGAAAATAAAGTGAAAAGAAAATTTTCTTCTCCAATATTACTGTTAGAAATGTTCTTAAATTTCATTAACTTTTAATGTACGTTGGTGAATGAAGTTTAATTTCTCTGTAACTGAAAGGACTATTAATGCAATGTTAATGAGATTTAAGTTTACAGTAACTGAAAAATTAAAAGTGTAATGAAATTTAATATACTTTTCATTTACGGATATAAATGACATTTAATTAATCGTAATTGAAATAACTAT